GTGATGGTGACGGCAGCGTATGTGATTCATTTCATAATTTTTTAATTGTTTGGATATTAGAATACTGAATGCCTTAACTGGTAATATTGGATAATTGTGTTCATAACATTGTGGGATGAAAATGATACTGATATGCCAGAGGGGGGTACCCTCACATAACAAGAGTCCTCCAAAGCCATGAGGAGTATACAATATAGGAGTACATACTCGACAATTCCTTAAAAAAATCGTAAGTGAATCTATAATTTATCAAACTATATTCTTTCAGCATAATTGGTACGATGCATTGACAAATTGGTACCATTTCAATACATGTAGAGAGGTTCTTGTAGATTTTGAAGACACCATATTTCTGCTGACTCGGAAGTCAATGCAGTCCTTATGGGGAACGAAGTGGATAGATGATGATGTAATTGGATTGCTTTTGAATGCATTATTACCATCAATTATTCTGCTAAAGTAGTATACAATATCCAATAATTTATTTTTGTCTTGATTAACAGGTGATAAATATGGTTCACTGTGTTATGTCACCCGATACCAAGATCAACCGCACCAATCAAAATGCCATATGGTACTTCCCAACAATGTTTTCGGTAAAGTTTCCATACTCGTAGAAGTATGATGCCTCTAAATCCAATTTTGATAATAGAAATTTTTTACTGTTGGGGCATAGATTTCATGATACCTTTCCCCACATCTTTTGGATATATGTACATTTTAGTGGGTGTAGATTATGTCTCTAAGTGGGTCGAAGCTATACTATGTTGGACAAATGATCATAAAGTTGTTTTGAAATTTCTAAAAGAGAATATTTTTTCCAGATTTGGTATACCTCGAGTCATTATCAGTGATGGGGGATTGCACTTTTGTAACAAACATTTTGAAAATTTAATGAAAAAATATGGAGTGACACATAAAGTTGCAACCCCCTATCACCCACAAACAAGTGGTCAAACAGAGCTAGCTAATCGGGAAATTTGTTATATTTTGGAAAAAACGGTTAACCCTGATCGTAAAGATAGGTCATTACGACTAATCGATGCGTTATGGGCATACCATACTGCTTACAAAACCCCGATTGGCATGTCTTCATATAGATTGGTGTATGAAAAAGCTTGTCACTTACCTGTGGAATTAGAAACATAAGGCATATTGGACCATTAAGATGTTTAATTTTAGTTTTGACAAAGCCGACACCTTACAAAAATTACAGTTAAATGAGCTTGAGGAGATTCGGAATGAAGCTTATGAGAACTCTATGATTAACAAAGAACGAATGAAGGTGCTCCATGATAAAAATATTTTGCATAAAACTTTTACACCTTCACAAAAAGTTCTTTTATATAATTCTAAACTACATATCTTCAAAGGAAAACTTCGAACTAGTTGGAGTGGCCCGTATATTGTTAAAGAAGTTTTTTCATATAGAACAGTGGAGATTGAAAATCCCAATAATGGGAACACCTTTAAAGTTAATGAACAACGATTGAAGCCATTTTTGGAGGACGGTATAGTTGAAGTGGAATCCATGGGGTTGGTGGATCCTCGATATGAATGATTCATCTCTAACAATCAACACAATTGCTGTATAAAATTTTCTTTTATACATTTTGCTTATTTTTGTTAAGTCTTTTATTTTTAGGTTTTAGAGTTGTTGCGGCCCCAGGTATTCCTATCCCTTTGATTTTTATTCATTATTTTTATTGAGCATTAAGGTGTTTATTTTTACATTGAGAACAATGTTAGATTTAGGTTGGGGGGGGGGGGTATGAGTATATTTTGTGTTGTGAAAATTCCTAATTTGTGTTTTTTTTAATTTATTTACTGTGCTAAAAAAAAAATTTGTTGGTTATTAAATATTTAGATAACATTTTTATGCATAAATTGACACCACAATATAGAAATAATTTGTTTAGCTTTAAATTTGTAATTGTTTAAGTATCACATAGAACTTTATTCTATATTTTTGTATCTCATATCATGTTCTTATAAAAACTCACAAGTTGTGCACTTTAGACTTTACCAAGTTGAAAATTTGTTAGTTATTTTACCTTGAGAACTTGAAACATATAGTGGAGGTGCATAAAAACCCTGATGAGTTTTGATCCAATTTTTTTTTGGAGGGTTATTTACATTTACTCAATAAAAAATATTTTTTAAGCTAATCTCCTTCAATAGTCTCATTATTTTTATTTTGGTTTACACCAATATTATGAATGATTGCTTGACTTTAAATTATTTGCATGGGGAGTGTGGTATCAAAAGCTCTTGAGATATAATTTTAGGTCATCTTTGATATTATTTGAGTCTAACCCTTATTTTTTGAATACTATTATCTCTAGAAGCCATGATTGAGCTTTGAAATAAAATTTTATTTTATTTTTTTATTACCCAACATATAATAACCAAACCAATGAAAAAAAATAATATTTTTTGCCCTTGGTTATCCCGAGATTGAACTTTTTATTGTTTATGTAATTTGAGAGATGCTGGTTGAGAAAAAATGATAAAAAAGGAGAGTTCTGCATAATTGTGAATATCTGCATTAGATGTCTTGATAAATATATATATATATACACATTCAATTGTCTTGCTGAAAAAAAAATTGAGAAGAAAAAGAAAGACAATATGTCTAGCTGTGAAAAAGCAGATTGGAAAAAAAAAAGCAAAAAATAGCAAGCATGTGTTTAAAAAGGAAAAAAAATAATATGAGCAAGTGTTGTAAATTGTGCTTCTAAAGGGTGAAGAGTGAAAGGTCATGAAAAGAAAATTGGTTGTGTAATGTTCATGTTCTCTCGGGATAGTTATTTGAATTCCTGAATATCCTTCGTTTCAAAATCCTAATCCCAATGCCTCATTACAACCTTAAATACAGACCTATCTGATCTCAAGATTGTATTGATGGATACATGACTCGTGTGAATAAGGAAAAGAATGGTGATTATTTATATATTATGTGTTAATTTCTTTTCATGAGACTATGTCAAATCCTTTTCTTTTGGATTACTTTTTTTTTTAATAAACATGTGAGCATTATTTTGTTTTGATTTAAATATCTTCTTCTCACATGTGATATTTGAGTGAATAGTGACTATAATCTGAGAGAATCTTTTATGAGTAAATTATCTAGTGAGATTTGGCATTGAGACGAATAGTTGATAGTTGTAGAGGTGATTACCGGATAAATTGTTAATTTGGTATAGTTAATTTTCACTACACACGAGTTTATATGGGAACATGATAAGTGCATATATTTATATAGCGTAGAGTTCTATATTTTGCTTTGCATGTGCTTATAAAAAGGTTTGTAACTCAGAATTTTTATATTGTGGTAGCAATTTGTGTTATAAAATTATTATTCAGATATTTGATCACTGGGTGATGTTTGTGGGTATCATCTCTGAAAACCCTCACGAGACTATACTCGTCCACTAGGGGGAACCTAGGGGTTTAAAGACTTGTTGCATATGCTAAATGCAACCGTAAGTCTTACGAAAGTAGATTTATGTTTTATTTTATTAGATTATTTAGTTTTAGTTTTTAGTTTTTAGATTTTAGGATCTATGTATTACTAGGGACTAATAATATTCAGGTTGGGGGTGTGATTAACCATCAAAATTACTATTTTATTATATTTAATGATTGATTAATTTAATATTATTTGTGATTAAATGTGTTGAATTCCTTAATTTTTTAGTTTGATACTTTTTCTAGTTGTTTGATTTATTTTGCAGGTAAATTAGTTGATTTAAAGTAATAATGGATAATGCAAGCGAATCAATCACTAGAGGAAGAATCGCATTTGATAAGGATTAAAGAGTCAACATTGAGATAGGAAGACTTGAAGATATGACAGCAATTTAATCTTTCTAAGAGTTCAAGATGAAAGAAAATTCATTTAAAGTTGGATTATGAAAGTATCTTAGAAGAATAAGGATTTGATATGTTTTCAGTATTCTGGTCATAACTTTTGACTCTAACATCCGATTTACTTTATTTTTGGGGATTGAAAAGAATACTCTAAGGGCTACAAAAGTATATTTCACGAAAATTTCGTTAATCATTCTCTAAATATGAGAAATCCAAGCTCGAAGTCTGGACAGATTTTGTACCCGTACCCCAAAGATTTTGTGCACGAGATTTAACCTTACAAAACTTCTCTTTGGAAAGAAATTCCTTTCAAGATAACCTCATATCTTCTACCTATACTTAAGATTTATTTTTAGTATAAATAAGGGTTCTCATCTAGGATTTATTTTATGATTATTTTTCCATATTTTCTTTTCTAGTTTTAGTTTGTCATGTCTGGCTAGAAGGCTAAGGTAGGGTTAGGAGAGAACCTCTTAATGAAGTACGGTAATGTTAGTGATTCTGAGTTTAATGATTTATGCTATTTATTAATTTAACTTCTGATCTTATATCAAAGTTTTTGCTTTGTAAAAATCCTTGAGTTGCGCCATGTACATCGATTGCTTGAATTTTCCTGCGAGTAAATAACTAGTTATTCTATGCTTGAGGTAATTATTATTATTTCATAAAATAATATAATTGGATGATTATTCAGGTTCCTAAATAATTTTTTGATTATAACTTTTGATTTTCTTACTTTTTGTTATTCGAATCTTCCGACATCTGATTCTTGTTCCAAGTTAAGTTTTGAGTCATTAATCATTATTGTATGGAATTGAGAGGGAGTACCTGATGCTCTAATATTTTTATTACTTTTTTAATTATTTAAATCAATTTTCTTCACTTAACAACTCTATAAACAAATCATTTATTTTTTTTAAGTTTAATTTGGTATTTGTGTGATTGCTTTCTTGTTACAATTCCTTGAGGATTCAACCTCGATCTTCCAAGAAATATAGTACTGCGCTCAACCTGCGCTTGAGTTTACAATATTAAAGGTGAAGCACCCATTTTCACCTTTGGCTACTTTCAGGTTCTAAATCAGTGTGTGGAAACCGAGGTTTGGTTAAGAGAAAAATCAGCATCAGGATTCGCGCCCAAAATATGCCACTCCAGTTTTTTTGTCGGCTGATGTGAGAAGGAAAGCTGAAGCACTTGATAGGTACACTCTAGTTACTTTATTGAAATTGAGATTTTCCTTGACTGATTGTGATTTCTATGTTTGCATCCTTATTGCGATAATGACAAAACCAAAGCCAGTAACCCCTGAATCTCCATCACAGACTCCCCAAGGGAGTGAGCCGCAGCCACAGGGTGCTAGAATGACAACTCCAACAACGATGCTAATGAGAGTGCTGCAGCTGGAGGTGAAGTACCACCAGCTGAGCCAATGGAAACAGACAAGTCCGGAACCACACCAACTATGTAATTGATCTATAAAGCAGTTTGTAATTTTGTGTTATGGAGGTCAAAATTTTGTTCATTTATATAGTTTACCATTTGCACCAGGAACTTTTTAATGGTCTAGAGAGGCCATGGAATGGTTGTTTGTGAGATTATTTGGTTATTTAAAGCCATTTACTCAGTTTGATGGTTTGGCAAGTTCTACAATTTTTATAGGGCAGGTCTTTAGAATCCAGTTTTTCAAAAGGGCTTGTAAGTGAATAGGTAAATTGCTACTATCCATTCCATTGTGTTCTTGATGAGACCTAATATTTATTAGTGTCATACTATTTGGTTCCATTTCTTACTTGGATTTTGCATGTTATAAATGCCCTGCTGGCTTTGGGTGGAAACTCTATCTTGTGGTGTATATATGTGTTAATCATGTTAAATTGCGTGTGAGGCTTCATCCCGAGCACGCTAGCAGTTCATGATTTGCAGAAACCTGAACTGCAATTACCAACTACTTAAGTTCTGTAGTTCATTCAGCATTTGTCATCAGTTTTCTTTGGTCTGTTGTTTGTTCGGTCTCAAAGGGGAAAAGAAGTTATTTTCTTTTACGTTGTTATCATGTTTTGAAACAATTTAGTCATGAATTCAAAGTACTTGATCTGATTGTAGTAGGTGTCAGTTGTAGATGTTCCCGAGGATCCCTAGTAGCTTTGCTGCGTTTAGAAATGCTTGCTTCCTCAAGTTCGGTCATATGTTTTATGGTTCCACCCGTCTGGAAGTAGCCATCTTTCATTTATATTAAAATTTATTTTTTATATATTAAAATTTGAGCTGATTTAAAATCTACCGAGTTGTTACTACCAATTAAAATTCACTTTCGAGTCTATTAAAATTTATATTTTCTTTATTTATTAAAATTTGTGTCAATTAAAATTCGATTTATTAAAATTTATAATTTTTTTATGTATTTTAGTTTGGACTAATTAAAATTCAAGTTGATTAAAATTTAATTTAAGTTGATTAAAATTAATTTTTAATTGGATCAAATAAAATTTTAATTACCCCAAATTTTAATAAAAATTTAATTTTTAATTGGCTCAAATTTTAATATGTAAAAAAATAAATGTTAATTAGCGTGAATCAAATTTTACTCGGCCCGAATTTTAACACCAAAAAAAATAGAAAATAGAGGGTCTCAAAGATATGCTTGTGGATAAAAATAATTTGGATTTATTTACTATTTTTTTTTTCTTGACTTTGTCCTTCAAAATTTGAGTAAAAAGCTTGTCTATTATTTTTTTTTTTCAAAGTATTTTTTTTTAATATTTTTCACAGACCTTCTCCTACATGTTACCCAACCTATAGGGTGTGTGGTGTACCTCTCATTCTCTGTCCTTCTCTCACGACTCCAAAGTGTCATCACCACCGCCACATCACCACCATCGCAACTCCATGCATGGACTTCTCTAATTGGCTCCCATCTCTCTCTCGCTCTATATCTATGCTCCCACTGAAACTCCTCCAAAACCCCCCTAAAACTAGATCGAAAACCCCAAAAATCCCATTGAAACCAAAGATACACACAATCAAAGACACACACACACACACAGATCCCACACCTTCTACGTCTCTCTATCTCACGATTTTTAGGCAATTGACCATGCACACTAGCACACACATATCGCACATACAAAAACCCACCCACACACATACATCGCACCCACCCACCCACCTTTACACACACACACAGAGCAGTGGCAGCAACAGCACACAGACAAACACACAGAAGCACACACAACACATTTGTTTGATATTTTGTTGTTTGATATTTTGGGTGTTTTGTATTGGTTTGATATATTTGGGTATTTTGTAACTTTTCTGTGAATTTTCTCATATTAGGGTTATTTTGTTGGAATTGGTGTTAATTATACATATTTTATGAAATTAACTGCGTAGCCTAACTGCACAACCATTGAAAAATGGATGATATTACTAATTTTTGCTCCTTAGTTCTAAAGAATTTGAAATTTGTTTAATTTGTCCACTATTTTTTTTATGTACTTTGTTAATGCTCTCTTCTTCTAAGAGTGCATTCAATTTCTTATAAAATGCTATTCTTTTTGTGTTTACTTTGCTAGATGTGATGAATAGTGATAATTTCAGGACAATAATTGCAATGAAAGTTAAATTGATGAAAATAATTGGGATAAAAGTCATATGCTTGATCATTGAGATNATTTCAGGACAATAATTGCAATGAAAGTTAAATTGATGAAAATAATTGGGATAAAAGGCATATGCTTGATCGTTGAGAGNTTTGCTAGATGTGATGAATAGTGATAATTTCAGGACAATAATTGCAATGAAAGTTAAATTGATGAAAATAATTGGGATAAAAGTCATATGCTTGATCATTGAGATGGAGGAGATTAAAATTAATATATTTTGATACGAGTTTTTATTTGATTTTATTTTATGTTACATTGCTTGGTTTCCTTGAAACTCACAATTGAATTTGAGGTTTATACCAATTCAATTGGATTTTAGTTTGGAATTATTTTGTTTTTATTACTTTTCTTGGGATTGTTTAATTATTTGGCATTGTTCGATTTTGTAGCCACACGAAATTGGATACAAAAAATTCTATACAGAGTGAAGCTGTTTACCCCCACTACAAGGAATTTTTTGTTATCCCTTTAAGGTACTTGATTTAACATTTGTTCTTGCCATGTGAAAGCAGTTTATGTGTGTAATTGGGTTTAGACTTTAGACAATTTTTTGGGTGCTGCAGAGAGTTTTGAAATTTTTTTTGCTTTTAACATACATCTTTTTGGAGATATGCTTAGTGACTTCATGGGTTCATGTAATTATTATTATATGTCATTTTGATGGTTATATGTTTTGTTTGAATTATGATAATTTTTATATATGATTTTAAACTATGAATTTTAGTTTTTTGATTGATTTGGATTATGTATTACGCTGTGAACATACAAAAAATATATATTTTATGAATCAAAAGTACTATTAACCTAAAAGAAAAATACGATGAAACTGCGTTGTTGGACCATGTATTATCAGTCTTATATCATGACCACAAACTTTGAATTTCTAAGGCCATCCAGAGGGATTCCATTATCTTCGACCCCATCAGGGGAACACTACTATACCGCCAACTTGCTTTTAAATACCATACCGAAAAGTAAGTTGGCATATTACACGTGACTCTTTAAAACCGGTTTCACCGGTAAATAGTGAACAATAAAAGTTGTTACTAAAAAGGGCTAACTAGCCCAAAAATTTGTATCTCATCCCAAAACTTGTAACCCTAAAAAATATTGTAATCTAACCCACAAAATTGTAACATACCAAAAAAATTGAAATCAAATCCATGAAAGTTATAACTCCATAAAAGTTGTAACCCACCATTAAACTTGTACAACATCCAAAAGAGTAGTTGTCTTACCATAAAAGGTAGAATCCCAAAAAAGTTGTATCCCATCATTAAAGTTGTACCCCCACCCCCAAAGAGTTATAATCATACCATTAAAGTTGTTACCCACCAAGAAGTTTGAAACCAAATCTACAAAAGTTATAACCCAAGAAAAGTTGTAACCCTCCATTAAATTTGTACCACATCCAATAGAGTTGTACTCACATCCAAAAAAGTTGTAACCGTTGTACCAGATCCAATAGAGTTGTACCCCTATCCATTAAAAGTGTACCCTCATCCAAAAAAGTTGTAATCCTACCTTTAAAATTGTACCTTATCCATTAAAGGTGTACCTACATCCAAATTTGTGATGTTGACTACATTATTTTCAAATTTTATGTTAATTTTATAACATGGAGTTTTGATGATTAATTTTTGTGGAGTTGGAATTTGGGTTTGCAATTGACTGTTGGAGCTTTAAAATTGAATGTTAGGATTATTTTGATTGGAATAGGTGTTATCTTGATTGAAATGTTGGGGTTTATTATTTTAATGAAATACTATATTTAGTGTTTTGATTGAGATTTACTGTCAATTTCATTCAATAGGGTTTTTAGATGTTAGGGTTTTTGTAAGTCAAATGAGTTATTGGTGGTAGTTTATTGAATGTTATGGTTTTGAAATTAGGTTTATTTTGATTGTGCTTGGGTTTTGATTTCATTTTTTTTAAATAACATTGTATTTTTACGGTTTTACAATTAAATGTTAGGATTACTAACATTCAATAAAATACATTGAAAAATTGTAACCGCACAACCATTGAAAAATGGATGCTATTACTAATTTTTGCTCCTTAGTTCTAAAGAATTTGAAATTTGTTCAATTCGATAACTTTTTTTTTTTTTTTTATGTACTATGTTAATGCTCTCTTCTTCTAAGAGTGCATTCAATTTCTTATAAAATGCTATTCTTTTTGTGTTTACTTTGCTAGATGTGATGAATAGTGATAATTTCACGACAATAATTTCAATGAAAGTTGTATTGATGAAAATAATTGGGATAAAAGGCATATGCTTGATCGCTAAGGTGGAAGAGATTAAAATTAATATATTTTGATATGAGTTCTTATTTGATGTTACATTGCTTGGTTTCCTTGAAACTCACAATTGAATTTGAGGTTTATACCAATTCAATTGGATTTTAGTTTGAAGTTATTTTGTTTTTATTACTTTTCTTGGGATTGTTCAATTTTGTAGCCACACAAAATTGGATACTAAAAATTCTATACAGAGTGAAGCTGTTTGGCCCACTACATTTGTTGGAAGCTCCTTTCATTGCTTGCAAGGTTATGTGCTTATCTTTGTTTATTTATAAACCATCTTTTTAGAGGAATTTTTTGTTATCCTTTAAGGAACTTGATTTAACATTTGTTCATGACATATGAAAGAAGTTTATGTGTGCAATTGGGTTTAGACTTTAGACATTTTTTTCTATTACATCTTATGAACATTCTTTTTTTACCAAGAAGATGATGCGTGGTACAGGACGATGAATATGGTAAGCAATACAAAGAAAAAATTAGAGCTTCGTAAGCGCCAAAGAATT